CTTAATTATTCTAAGGATTGGAATTGATCCTTTTCTTTTCACAATTTTTTTGTTTAAGAGCAGATCAAGCCACTCATATTAGGAGATTAATTTGCTTTTATAACCAAGCAGTATGGTAGTGATTCCATTAAAAGACCATCCCATTCAGGTCAGCACAGACTATTATTGTGAGCAAGCTGAGCTGTGTTTGACCGTTTCCCACAAATAAATCAGAAATGTTGCATCTCACCTTCTTCTGATTGTGATTTCTAAAGTAAAGGTGAAAAACGGGAAGCCCACTGCAGACAGTGTGGAACCCCAACATTGCAAAAGTGATTCTGGTGACGCTCACGTGAATTTCTTTCTTACAGGACAGGTCTTCAGCTGCTGAGTCTTAAATGGTCATGTCTCTAGTTTTGCTGCAAAAAAAGAGAAGACAGTACTGGAATTGAAGTTTTAAAAATTTGCATCATTTGCCTTGTCCTGCCTGTTAAATAAATCCAGCAATCTCCTGGCCGAATCTGTTGTTAAGCGTTGTGGTGGGCAATGCTGCGAAATGCAGATGGAAGATAGCATTTGCAGCTGTTAGTGTTTGAAAATAATTTGTGCCTGAAATTCAGTAAAAGCTGGATTAAGACATTAGCCGCCTCCCTTTGAGAGGACTCACTCGAGTAGCCGGCCATCCAAAATCGACAGCAAGAAGCTACTCTGTATTCCTGTACTGGCCTGAGTTTCATATCAATGCCTCTTACAAATCTCAGAGGAAAGCAGCTATTCTTTGAATAGTTCAATATATTTTAAAAAACGTACTTGTGAGTATATTCATCCACTGGTGATCAAATTCATTGTGACAGGAATCTCTCTATTGTTTCTCCTGCCCTCTCCCTCCTCTTGGTGTGCTGTAAAGCAGGATGTGCACGGTGAGCAATCCAGCTGTCAGAAAGCAAAATGAAAGCCCGCTCTATGTACACAGCCTCCAAGTCCATCACCCAGCCGCCAACATTTTATGCATGTTAACGATGCTCGGAAAATAGCTCCTAACAATGCAGTCTGTCTTGGGTGGCTCCACTGAACTTGTTTTATTTTCAATGTTCGTGCCGGGTATTTGGAGGAAGAAGCGTGAGCAATGTGGATGCTGGGCTGCATTAAGCAGAACCTATATTGCACCCTTGAAAGGCATGTCTTGTGCATACATATCCCATTACTGCACCCAGACAAGGAGGCTGTATAGCCACGGGAAACAAACCGCTGAGCTCCCATGAACAACATGATATGTTTAGGGCTCTTCAAATTTTATGGTCCAATGGCAGCTAATGATTGTTTATTGGTTATATTTAATGCACACCAGGGATAGTTTAGTATTTGATTTCTCTTCATGCAGAAAATAGAGTAAACTCTTTGTAGTCTTTATTACTCGGGGAAAAAGCTTTAGGTGAATATAGCGACTTGTCACTGTGGAAAAGGAGGAAATTAAAAAGTAAAGCAGCACCGCGGAGCTCGTTACAAGCGCTGAATACACTGCTGTGGCTCTTGGAAGAAGCAAGGGGGTTTTACGCAGCACTCCCTCCATCTGCAGATTTTCAGATAATCCATTCTGCCTTGTGCTGAGCCCCGAAGCAGCTCGTTTGCTTAATGGTAGTGGAGTCTAAACTTCTAATGCAGCAAGACCGCAGCTGCGCATGGCGGGTCAGAAGTAACTCAGCAGCCCAAGATTAGCAACTTTGGGAAGTGAGTTGCCTGATTGCTTCCTTGTTTTGAGGAGCTCATTTATGCAGCTCATTGTGCATGTGGGTTTTTGTCTTCTAAGGGAAGAAAAACTCAGTGTGGTACTTGTCTGATTAGCAATTTACAGCTCCTCGACGCAATTGGCGGGATGCCTGTGTTTTGATGTTTTGGCCTTCATTTGCATTTTTTATGAGGTATGACTTAAGCGAGTACAAAGTTGCATCTCTTCCTGATGACCCCAAAAACCCCTCTATTTAAAGTCCCTCTGCACGCTGGGGGCCATCCTGCAGGTTTCCATTTAGTCGCCCAGGGCTGAGCATCACACACGGTTTCATAGAAAGGCAATGACATCACATTCTTTAAATCATGCAGAGAAGCCAAAAAAAACCCCCTTTTCCTTTTTTCACAAGCTGTGCTCTTGCTTAGCTGAAGCCCTGTTTCATTTTAAGGGGACCCTTTATGCTCCATGTCTGTTCCCCACTTATCCAGAGGGCAGGACCTGGCTCCTGAGCTGTTTACCGTCCACAGCATTCATCTCTTGTCACTCCACAACCAAAAAGTCAGATTTTTTAGGTGATTGAGGTGGAAAATTTCATCCATTTGGCTGCCTGGAAAAGAAACCAGTTGCTTCGTGCTTCTTTGCTCAGCTCAGCACGGCTTTTCCCTTGTGCTGTATTTCAGCTTTGACTGATTTTCCCTATGTCCTAATCTATATGCATTCAAAAACAGCTGCATCAGATGTGACCATATGGCTGACCGTCATGCTTTAAGGAGAAAAGAGTGGGTTTATGCTTTTCCTCTTCCCTGTACTTCCCTGGGCTTGCTTGGCAATGAGAATACGTTGTGCTCCCCAGTCCTGTGCAGCAGGGGCTGGGGGACGTTTTGAATGTTAAACTGGGAAAAAAATTCAAAATATTTTAATTATGAAAAACAAAACCACAAGTCCTCTCCCATACACCAGCACTCTGACTTCCAGTAGAAAAAAGTTTTTTAGTGTATTCCTTGAATTATATGTGGCAGCTGAGGCATAAGCACTAGTTACTCTTTCTTTCATGTGGGATGGGGTAGGTATAAAGTCTGAAATGCCGTGTAATATGTGAACTGCTGCTACACAGACGTCTTCTTTTCAGGGATGGGGGTGAACAGTTTTTACAGGGACTTCATTATCCTTGAAACCTCTGTTCCTCTGTCAAATCTAGTTGCAGTTGGGTGACATTTCAGATGTTATTATGGGTGATACACAGATGTCATGATCGCATAAACCCTTTCCTATAGGAAATCAGACTCAAATAGTTTCTAGTCACTCGTGTTGTTCCATTACCAGCTGCATCTAAATCACCTTGAACTTCAGCAGCCGCCGAGGAAACAAGATTTCCCTGCAATTGCTCTGAAAGCCTCTGTTTGCCTCTCACATTAAGATTTTTATGCTGTCACATGAAGATTTTGGCTGAACAGCTGCAGAGAGGCAGTACAGGAATGATGGTCACGGAAGTGATGGTATTTTAATGTGTGACAAATAGCTGTATGACCACATATATATATATATCTCGATACGTCTTCAACACTGACAAGACCTAAAATTTGTATGGTATGGGAGGGAAGTGAGAAGCTTTCTCTGCATCCTTGAATTTATTCATGTCTTGGCTTCTCCCCATTGTAGAGGTTCAGGGCATGTTTTATTCTCTCAGCAGGTGGCTCCTGCTGATCTCTTCTATGGGGCTGCTGGCACAGACCTTTCTATCTGTTGTAAAGTTCATTGGAAGTGAAAAAAAAACCATTCAGCACATGCACTAGACCTGTCATTTATGAGAACTGCCATCTCATCCTCTGTGATAAATCCATATACACAGTTCCTGTCACTTGCTTAATTATGAAGTTCTATTGGATGTTTCATGTAAGAGTGGCTTCATGCTTTTTTAGTCCTCTGTGTATAAACAGAGCTGTGATTTGCAGCATTGCAAACACGACAAGATATTATTATTTTAAACATCGTGCGAAACTTTCTTGGAATTTATATTCATCTGTCTTGTAACCAGTCACTTCCATTTTATCTTCCTGTCGCCTGGAATGAACTAGGAATGGAAATGTAATTTCCCAGGAGCCTTAAAATATGTGGGGAGTATTAAATACGGTTGAAATTAAGCGATTAATAATTTAGTTTTAGGCCATGAATCAACTTCATGTGATAGCACAGACCATATGCAACCCTCGAAACATTAGTGGAAACAAAACACTCTGGAGGTTCAGGGAAATAAAATGTTCTAAAAAGGAAGTTGCTGAACCTAATTAAACCTCAGCCTTCTGTTATCCAAATCGTGCTTCATATTTACACCAAATTTGCTCTGATCGGCTTGCTGGAGAGATGTCATTTTGCTTGACAGTTGACAGACAGCTTGTGTTGCATCAGAGACAGAGAGGGAAGAGGAGCTTAAAGCAAAGAAGAATCTCCATGGATGCTCATCAGACCCCTTCCTTAAAAAACCCCACATTAAGGTTTTTTTTTTCTGACAGATGCAGAAAGCCTTAGCAACTAGGCCTTGTGCCATTTTCTCCCTGCTTCCTCCAGAGGTAATTATCTTACTCCATCAATAGCGCTGTCAGAAATTGGGCACATAATTCAGCATTTAAATGAACAAGCAATGTAATATTTCCTGTCTCCCACTGGCGTGTTTTGCAGCTCACATTCTTCTCTGTCACTCGCTCACTCTTGATGTATGTCCTGGGTGCAGTCCTTGAATGCATTCTCTCCCCTGTGTTTCATTACAGATGTTGGCTCCGACTTGACACCTACTTCATTTGGAGCTTTATAGGACCAGCGACCTTGATAATTATGGTAAGAACTCCTAATTAACTACTCCATCTCTCAGGTCAAGAAATAAAACTTTTGCTGTCCCTTTACTCTTTATCTTTAATTTACACAGATTAATTTGAGAAAGGCATGTTCTTCTTTGACCCCACCTGGCACAAGCAATTAGACCCTCATTATGAGAGGCTCTTGGCATTGCAAAATACTTGCTCAAAACGGGCCACGGATCTTTGGAGAGGATGCTTGCAGAGTTTGTTTTCTACCATTGGACCTTTAGAAGTGCCAAAATCTATTTTAACGCCTCTCACTGCCCGTCCCCCTCTCTCAACCCCCTTCCGAATTCCAGAGTGAAGTTTTGCATTGATCATGCAAAAAAAGGGAAATCTGTGGAGGGGGAATGAAATAAAGTCCAAACTGGAAGAGAGGTTTGATGGGGTTTTTCCTCCCCGGCAGAAGTTAAAGCTTGTGTGACTTCACGTTTAGCACATTGCCAGCGTATCAGCTAACACAGCAACAAGGTAGAGAACCCGACTTTAGAGGCAGCTGGAGTTTTCTTATACTTTAATCGCTACAATATGGCTTAAATAAACCATCCTTTGTTTTGAATAGACTGCAGTTTGGCTAACACAGCAAACCAGGCACTCTCCCTTCAATGCAAACATTGTCCCTGCTTCTCCCACTTCTGCAACTGGGGGCCATTTCAGCAGCCTGCCACATCAGGGAAGGGGCTGCGCCACCAGATGCAACTCTTAGGGTTTTTTCTCCTTAAGCTATTCGTTCATTAAAATATATCTTCCCTTTCTGACTATGTCTCAAACCCTGGCCTTGGCTTTTAGGGGCACTCCTCTCCAGGAACTGTCAGCCTTGTTAACACTGAGGCATCAAGACACCAATGCATCTTCTACAGAACAAATCAAGCTCTTTTTCCTTTTTATTTTTCAGCTTTGTACCGTACTAAGTATCTTCAGCAGTCATGATTTCGCTGCCCATTTTCCCCATTACACTACATTTAAAAGATACATTCACAGAAAGAGATGCTTTTTTTGCTTAGTTACAGTGGGGATGGCTGAGCAAGATGCTTGGAATGACTTTTCTCAAATGTACACCTCTCAGACAAAGAAGAGCCATTACAGCAAATATTATTAATTTTCCTTAATGTCCTTTGAAGCACTACAAATGATATTGGAACCAGCCCTATACCACAGTTTTGGTTACACAGTGGCATCACCAGTCCTGCAGTCTGCAGGCCAGCTTACCCTGTACAATGCTTGGCAATTTTCTGTGATTCAGTCGCTATAAAACTGTAGCAAGACCTAATTTCCTAGAGCAACTCATCTGTTACAGTGAAGCTGACTTTCTCCCCATCACATTGTACGCTGTCACATAATTTTTAATTTTTCCTTCCCCCCCATTGCAGCTTAATGTCATCTTCCTTGGGATCGCTCTCTATAAAATGTTTCATCATACTGCCATACTGAAACCCGAATCTGGATGTCTTGACAATATCAAGTAAGTGGCTGGTTTTTTTCAATCTCTCTGCCTGTTTCTGTCTTTGGCTGAGTATGCCCCCATTCCTCCCTGAGGAATACAGGGGAGCCAACTCTGCCAGCAGCAGTGATAACCAGGTGCAATATGTCAGGATATGGCGCTGCAGAGTGGTTTCTAATAGGTGCCAACAAGTGGCTGATGATGACGCACTGTCTTTGTTGGGATTTGGCTGCCAGTGATGGCATTTTCCATTCAATTTTGCGTGAAGGAAGAAAAGTTGCGTTTGCTGTCCTTGAAGGAGGTAACCTCCTAGGCCCTCTACATAAAAGGACTTCATACCTAATAATTACCAGCTAATTATTTCATTCTCTACAGGGAAGGTGTTGAAATTGTTGATCATTACTATTTCTTTGTGCTCTGAGGGCAGCAACCTTGCTTCTTTTCTGTTTGTTTTAGCCCCTGACAGATTTAATGACCTAAATTCTCTGCAGAATTTGATTAGCTTCAGCAAAGTTACCAGGGGCTTTACCTGGGCGTGCCCACATCAGAGGATGTGGTTGCCAACCAAGGCATGTTTTGCCCTTGGACTCATTTAACGTCTGAATCTGGTCATATCTTACTGTCTAGCAAGCTTCTTCATTATATTGATAGAATATTAGTCTCTATCAGTGCATGTTTATTCAGATACCTCTGGCTTTAATTACTCGCTTCAAAAACACAAGTGGGATTTCAGGTGCAGCGTGTGATAAGATGGAAAGCTTGCTAATTAATAAAACCATCTAATGAACTTTAGGAGGAGGAAGTTGTTGGGAGTCAGCACTTTTCTGCCCACCCAGGAAAGGAGAGAGTTGTGTGACACAGCTGGAAGCTGGTTCTCTGCTCTCTTCTGTGGTGGGAATGGGAGAAGATGCACAAGGGGAGCTCATTAGGAGGCGACTGAATTGCACAGTTGCCGGGTAGTTCTCTGCAAGGTTATTGTTCTTACCCCTGCACTGCTCTCAAAAATGCAGCATTAATTTAAACTAGGTCAGTCGCCCCTTAAAACTTCATCAGCAGGCAAGGCTTGCGATGCTGCTGGCATGCCACCACCTGGCGTGATCCTTTGGGTGAGGTTTTGGTTTCTTGGGAGAAAAGGGACTGGAGCCTGTACAAATGCAGGAGACCCTAGTGACCGTTGGGACCCCCATGGTGCTCATTCATTGTGTCTGTTCCAGCTCAGATTAGGGGCAGGCTGCCTCTGTTTCTCCTGCCATCGCTCAGCTATAAGACGAAATTGGAGGAGCAGTCCCTCCTGGATAGCCAGGACTGATCCCAGTATGATAGTCTTTCCTTCAGTCTTGGGTGAGGCGTTAAAGGAACGGTACATTTAAAAACACTTACTAATATGACTACTCGTCATGCTTTAGTGCTATGGAATTGCTTGTTGAGAACAGTCTTTCTAAGGTTACCCACACAAAATCTGTCTAGAAAGCCTTGCAGTATGACATTTAAATTAAAAACTGAGAAGGGAAAAAAAAAACCACCCTTATAATTAAAGCAGAAATAATTGCCTACTGAATAATCTTGCTTGTGCTAATCTCTAGTATCTTTGTTTAAAATGCCAGGAATTTATACAACCAGTTACGTCAATTATAATGTCATTGTAAAATATTTTATAGGTTCTTTGGCAGATGAGTGCCTATTCCTGATTTAACTTCATTAAAACATTTTGAAAACACAAGCAATTAAAGTACTTGTAAGTACGTTGCTGATACCCTTCCAAACATATTGCTTCATTACAAATAATTTTTTATGCTTGAAAAAATAAGACAAGCATAATATAAACCCAAGAAGACTCCAGGCTCACCCTAGGAAGTTTATCAAAAGGGACTTGAATTGTAACTTCTGAATATCTAAGCAGGACAAAGATACATTTCAAAATCCATGGCATGTGTTGTCTCAGTACTGGATACGCTTGAATTAGCAGAAGGTGCAGATGTTTAACAGAGAAGGGAATTCACCCCTGAGGGAGCTTTCCCACAGGTGTGAGGGGCTTCTAATCTCTGGAAAACTTCTGGGCAAGATCATAGTCATCTTCTAGGTAAGATCATGGTCTTCTTCCAAAGTCGTTGTGTCTAATTCAGTTCCAAAATGTGGATGAGATAAAGCAGATCTGGAATGAAAAGCCACAGACCACATTATTTCGCAGGTGATGAAGAATGTCCTTTCTGAGCTTACCTCCTTGGGTCTATATGGCCAGTGGAAAGATACGCAGATCTTTTTCTCAAGAAATGCACTCCCTTTTCTGGCTCTCAACGTGGTCCTGGAGTCTTGCGTCTTGTCTTAGTGGTTTATATTTAAAAAACCAAACCAAGCTGAGGGCCTACAGTTGAGGGCCCCTTTCTGCCATCTGCATGTGACAGCTTTATGGCACACAGGGAGCTGAATGGGAGTTTGTTCTCCCACTTCATTTCCTAGCTCTGCTCTGTGTTAGGCTGTGGTGAAGCTCTCGCAACATAAATCCCGAGCCTGTTCAACAACAGCAAAATACTCGATTCCCTATGGCAACATAAAAATAAAGACCATAAAATATTTTAATAGGCTGTTAATAAGCGCCCCTGCAATCTGGTGCTTGCCTATGTCACTTTAAAGGTTACAAATACATTATGAAGTACAGAAAATAGAGAGCCAAATAACTCCACTTAAATTAATGAACTTGATAAGGGATCAGGTGCCACCTGGGATACCTTTAATTACTGCACCAACAGAAAAGCCATTCAAAGGGCAGTGCCTGAACCAGATGCTGTGTGGCTGAAAGATTTGTAGGCACTGTGCAAAGTTGTAAAAATAAACTTCCTTAACCTTCAGGAACAGTCCCTGTATTATTGTGCCAGCATAGGAGAATCTGAAATTCCCACAGCGGAGCACTGGCTACCCAGGGGTTACCCAGCAAGAGATCTGATGAGTACTGAGCTGGTTTATTTTTTATCCACGTTAGCTTTGCCAGCTTAGCCCAGCACTTTCAAGAGGGAAGTAGGGTAGCCACGTATGTGGGTCCTTCCCCTGTGCTGAGTGGATTGCACCCACTGAAATGGTGATGTTCGTGCTCTAGTCCTACTTTTGAGGCATGTAGCCAGGAGCAGATATGAGCTTCTGTATGTGGGATATGTTGTTTGGAGCTGCAAGAGTTTCTGTGCCTGCTGCTGGCGCCAGGAGGGCAGACTAGCTCCTATTTCACAACAGGTACTGTCACCAAGAGTAGCATGCTTTTACCTAGGACTTTTTGAGAAAGTTCAGTTTGACTTCTTCCTTCAGTGTTTCAAACAAAAGTTATAGGAGTTCACCCAGGGTGCGAATCTCTTCTGCCTTTTAAAGATCTCTTTACTATAAAGCGATGCAGACCGAAATGTCTGTCCCTTGGGTGGTTAGTGCAGCTTCTGCCCTTGCCTCCCCAAACGTGGGGCAGGAGGGAATTTTGCTTCTCAGCCTTTTCCAGTGGCTGTTCCTGGGCTCTCTGTGGCCATTGTTCGTTCATCTCTTCACAGCTTGTCAGCAAGCATAGATGAGCAGAGATGGGTAGGGATGAACATCACTTAGTCTTTGGTAGCTCTGCCCACATCACGTGTTTCTTGCTCGTGGCCCATCTGAGAGCATAAGTGGGATGTGAAGGGTGCACGAAATTGCTAGTGAGCACAAACAGATCCACTGCCAACAAATGTGGCCATGAAGGTGTTGTTTTGGAGGATTGATTCTCCAAGCCCTTGCAGGGAAGTCACATCTTTCAAGCCAGGGACTACTCAGGCTTTTTGGATCTTGTGCTGCTTGCATCTGTAGGCTGTGAGGTGGAGACTGTAGGCGTATCAGTGTGGCATTGATGCACTCTTGCTAGCAGATGGCTCCTCGTGAGGACGTGTTACCAGCTGGAATATTTTAGAGCAGCTGTGAGGCTGTTTTACCGGAGGTTGCTGCCGTGTGGAGTGATTTCTGGAGCTGAGCAGCTTGAAGTCTCTCCTTCACGATTTTCCATTGTGCCAGGTAGATGCTAGATGTGAGAAATGTCTCAGACTGTCATAGACAGGAGTACAGTGAATCTTTTTTATATTCACATTCCTGTAAGAGGCCTTATGTGACAAAGAAAAATACATCTATATGTGAGTAGTCCAGCACAGTTCTTCAGTTTTCCACCCCCATGGCACTAGGTGCCACATCCAGCCTCTCCTTAAACGCCTCCAGGGACGGTGACTCCACCACTTCCCGGGACAGTGCATCCTAGTGCCAGAGCACCCTCTCTGTGAGAAGAGCTTCTTGAGATCCAACCTAAACCTC